TTCCATCTGTAGAACTCGGAGTAGTCCACTGTGGCTGCTACCCCCGCAAGGGAGAGGCAGGAGACCAGGCTGGGGTGGTGTTGAGGCCAGACCAGACCACACAGCAGTTTCCACACAAATGTTGCATGAGACTCAGACAAAGGAAAAAGCATTTTTTGTGTATACTTTTCTCGTTCCTGGAACTGATCATCTGACATGGGAAGACAGGTTCATTCCTTTATGTTTTGGCTTACAGTTCAGAGGACACGGTCTGTCATGGTGGGGAAGGCATAGCAGGGGCCCGTGTCCTGTCTGTGTCAGAGGGAGCCTACTTGCTCACATTTAGAGAACAGAGAGGCAGAGAAAAGTGATGCCAGCACTCAGCTAGCCGCCCCTTCTTGATGCTGTCCCTGACCTCTTCCTCTAAGGTGGTGCCTCCCACATTCAGGGTAAGTCCTCCTCCATCAGTTAACCCTCTCTGGCACCCAGAGGTGCCCCTCACCCGTGTGCTAGGCATTTCTTAATCCAATCAAATTGCCAATCAAAATTAGCAGTCACACTGGGCTGGAGAGATGACTCCTGTGGGTAAGAGAAGTTGCTGTGTGCATGAGGCCTGAGGTGCTGGGCTGCAGTGGAAGAGAGTCAGCATCTCATTTACGCTTTCCAAGAGCCAGTCTAGCCACTGTGCTGAGGGACAAACGGACTCAGGCAGGTCTGGGTGGCTGGTGAAGTGATGCTCTCCTGAGGGAAGGCAATGGCGGGGGCGGTGGAGGTATGTGACCTGGACAAGCGTCAACGTGTTGAAGAAAAAGGCCAAAGCGTTTCACCGTAGATTAGATGCAGCCTGTCAGAGGCAGAGGGAGCTCAAGGATAACTGCTCCGCCTACAGCTTGAACGGTGGAAAAACGGAGTTGCCGTGGACCACAACAGGGAGGGCTGTGTGCCGAAAGAGGAGTCCAGTTCATGTTGGATGAACCGATAATAGCTTGAGAGAGAGAGAGAGAGCATCATAAGATGGCTAGATTTAGTGGTTTTCCATTTGAAGAAAAATCCAGCAACATAGTTTTAAAAGTTAACCCTTCTCTGGGGACAGATGTTTTTTAAATGGACTTATTTTGTATCCTATTGAAATGGTCGTGTCCATGCGTCCATGGCCTTTGAAAAATGCTTAGAGAAGGAATAGACAGGATTAGAATTGGATCTCAGTTTTTCTCCGGTATCTGAACAGCAAAGCCGATGGGCCTGACACCCTGTTTTCCCTGGCAGCCGAGTTCCCTTTCCATCACATTGCTTTTCATGTCCATCCATTTTCTTCCATCGGCTCTTCAAGTTCAAGAGAAAAATCTGACTACTCAGACCCTTCCCCCTTCCTGAGGTGGAAAATGTGGCCTGAAAATTGAAGCCACCATCCCCGCCCAAACATCCCTGAGCACATGGGCTGGAGGAGTGTGTGAGGCCTTACTCAGCACCCAATGGCTCTGCTGGTCACATACCTACACCGATTACAACTGACTCAGGGCACGACTCCCAGCTGCCCTCCTTTAACCCAAGGCTGAGACAAAAAGGAATCTTTTTTTCTGCCCTAATTAACCAGTATTCCTTTTTATTTTTCTAAATCTTTCCCTCTGTATTTCTGCCTCTATCTGTCTCACTATCCGCCCCACCCCCCGCGCCTGCTTTGGGTGTGTGTTTCTGTATGTGTGCTGACCTTGTGTGTGTGTGCTGACCTTGTGTGTGTGTGTGCTGACCTTTTGTGTGTGTGTGCTGACCTTGTGGAGTCAGAGGACTTTACAAGTCAGTTCCTGCCTTCTGCCTTGTTCTTTATTATTTATTTGGGGGGAGGGTTAAGACAGGGTCTCCCTGTATCCCCAACTGACATGGAAGTCACTATGTAGACCAGGCTGGCCTTGATTGGTTTATTTATTTTTATTTTTTAATTATTTATTTAATAACCACATGATTAGAAGCAGCATTTCATTACAGCATTAACATATTCAATAACAATTTCCAAAACCCTGTAAGACAGCAAATTGAATGAGTTTTAACCTTTAAAAAAAATCTCCATTTCATTTTAAAATATGCTGTTTCCTACAGAAAGACTCACTTTTACTGCTACTGATGCTTAGATGTTTGCACGTGTCTCTAATCTCTATGTATCTAATTATTACTAGTCACAGTCAGTCACTTTCTGAGATCCCTGGAACCTGAGCATGGATATAAAATCATCAGGTAGATTTCAATAATAATGTGTTTCACCTCTACTAATTAACATGAAGCAAAATTTTATGCTTCTTCCTCAAATATAACTCATTTTTTTATTTGTTGATTTATTTGTATTTCATACAGAACATCCCAAACAATCTTATTCATCTATATACCCACATCTCAAATGGCACCTTCCCATATCCCACCCCGGCTAGAGCCCATATACTGTCATCCCTGTTACTGTCCCCTGTGTTATCAGTGCGCCCAGCCATTCTCCAGTGCTTGTCCATCCACTGAATCTATTCAGCCTATCTAGAGTTCCTTGTTTTAGGAAGATCAACTCTTCCTCATCTAGCAGCAATCAGTTGCCAATATTCCTTTAGATAAGATTAGGGTCTGCTGTTCATTTTCCCAGTTCTATGCTGGGTTACTGTCTGAGAGTCTCTTGGTCCACCCTGGCCAACAACTCAAAGGAAGGTATCTCCTGTCTGGCATTCTTTCTTGTTATGTAGCCTTTAGCTATACACATGGATTCTTAAAAAATTATATTGATCCCTTTAACCTTTGGTTATACTTTCCTTTTGGGTATTCAGGACCATACTGTTGGCCCAGAGATACCAATTTATTTTTACTCTTAAGGTCATTCCTCAGGGGTCACATGGGCTTGGGAGGAGCCCCTGGCTCCTTTCTTTTATCAGTTCCATCTATGTGAAGATAAGTCAAAGGTCCTGCTTGACTGTGGCTGGCTTCACTTGGAAGCATGGAGGAAATGTTTCCTCTGTGTTGACCCTCCTCCAAGATGGACTGGACACTGGTTCAAGTCCATCTTGTGGGGTCTCCTCGGCCTCCTTGATTGAGAGGACAGGTGACGAACCATAGTTACAGGACATTTTGAGAGATGCTCATAGTCCCCAGGAGATAGTCAACCTAGGAGGACAGGAGCAAAAACTGTCCTTTAAGTCCCTGACCAAATTAGTATAGGCCTCATAGTATGGCTATTAAACATCCAAGAAGGTTAGTTCCACCAGTCTGGTACTTTTAATTACCATGTGCCATGTAGATAAAGCTTGGGCAAAGACCAAACGTTCTCAGATAAACCTTGCTTAGACATGTATTATATCCCTTGAGCTAGTTGTATGTATAATTTGTCAGTAGGTTTTTCGATTAATATGGTTCCCTCTAGTTTTTTTTAAAACTAGCTAGGCATTGTTTATCTCTCACATTGTCTAACCCTTCCGCCATGGTTTCCCATTTAAAGTGTCCCCATTTCCCCCCTTCTCCCTTAATAATACCCTTCTCCTATGGTCCCACCTCTCTTGAGCTCCTTCTTTCCCTTTATCCCCAAGTTTCCTTGTATAACCCTCCCTCCCCCTTCCCTTTAAAATAACCCCATTTTTATCCATATCTCCCTTGTTAACACCTGTTTCCTACTGTTCTTCTCTTTCAGGTTCTTTCTTTTCCTTTAGCTCCCTGGTTCCTTTCCATTATCCTGGTTCCTGTAGTTATGTCTGGATACATACTCACTTATCAGATTTGGTGCTAGGATCCACATATGAGGGAGAACATATGTTGTTGTTGTTGTTTTTTTTTCTGAGTCTGTGTTACTTCAGTTGGTATAACAGTTTCTAGTTCCATCCACTTACCTGCAAGTTTCATTATTTCATCTTTCACTGCTGAGTAAAACTCCATCGTATAAATGAACCACATTTTCATTATCCACTTGTCAGTTGAGGGGACACTTAGGTTGCTTCCATCTCTTAGCCATTGTAAAAAGAGCAGCAACAAACATGGATGTACAAGTGTCTCTGAAATAGGATGAGTTCTTTGGGTATATGCCAAGGAGTGGTATAACCAGGTAATATGGTAGGTTCATTTGTAGTTTTTTAAGAGTTCTCCACACTGCTTTTTATGAATAAAACATGAGTTTTCCTGCATGCATGTAAGTGCACCACATGCATGCAGTACCCACAGAGGCCAAAAGAGGATGGAGTTATGGATGGTTGTTAGCCACCATGTGGGTGCTGGGAATCGAACCCAGGCCCTCTGCAAGAGCAGCCAGTGGCCTTAACCACTGAGCATCTCTCCAGCCTCTTCTGCTGTATTTGAAGCAGACTCTGTCTTTAGTTTGTGCTGCCTGCGAGTTTCCAGATGGTTGTCCTGTCTCTGCTCATCTTGCAATAAGAGGTCTGAGACTGCACATGTGCCACAGAGTACTGGGATTATGCATATGTGCTGCTTGGTGCTGAGTGTATAAATATATGCCACTGAGTGCTGGGATTACACGTATGTGCTGCTTGGTGCTGAGTGTGTAAACATATGTGCCGCTGAGTGCCGGGATTGCATACGTGTTACTCAGTCTGACCTTTCGCAGATCCTGAGAACCCAAACTCAGGTTGTCAGACTCATGTGGCAGACACACGGAGCCTCCTCCCTGGGGCCAGTGTTCTTTTTCTTAAACAATCATTTTTACCTCTTTTTCTTAGACTTTTGATCTGGTTGAATTTGACAGTTTTGATATGACTATATTTAAAATTATCTGGAACTTCTACATCTATGATAGAACTGTGCATTTCCAAGGATTCATGAGGAGCAAAACTAAATGTTAGTTGGGGAAAAGTCTATAAACCATGGCCTTTTTATCTAGAGGCTTTCTGTACTGTGTTGTTTTTAATCATAGCATTTTAAATTGGCACACTCTCCCAGGAGGCAGTTTCCTTATTTTTTTACAATAATGGTTGTGTTTTATTTTTATGATGATTTTAAGTACTGATTAAGTCAGAAAGTTTATGTATTGCTGTATTTCCTGTGTTTTGCAGGCCTGGAGCGGGACAAGTTTGATAATAAGACAGTCTCGTTTGAGGAGCACATCAAGTCGGAGCACAACATGTGGCATTATCTGTACTTCATCGTCCTGGTGAAGGTCAAAGACCCGACTGAATACACCGGCCCCGAGAGCTACGTGGCTCAGATGATCGTGGTGAGTGAGGCTGCCTTGGTCAGTTCTGTCAGACGATCTGTCACGGTATGGTTTTCCTATTCACCATCTCTACCCTGCCTTCCTCCTATCCTGGCTGCTCAGGGAGGATCTAGCAGTGTTTTTTTAAACCTTTAAATAGCCTGCCAGTCGTTGGAGAATTCCTATGTCGCTGATGTCATCCTTGCCTGTGTAGTGAGCAGATAGCATCTCAGGGATGCTTGTGTAGTGAATAGCTTCCCAGTGATGTCTGTGACCTCTGACTCCTGACCCCAACCTGTGCCTTCAATCATCCCTGACCACCCAATTCTTGAAATCTGGAAATTTCCCATTGTCATATGTGTATAGAAGAGTCATGCCTTAAGAAATCCCTTGAGTTTACAAAATCAAGAATTTAAGAAGTTAAACTGTGGGAATTTAATGTTCTAGAGGAGCCAAGAGGAGAAGCCTGGTTTCTGGGTAGCCCATACCGGGTGGGCTCACAGCAGGAGAGAGGGGCTTCAGTATCCTGCCACCTCCAGCTGCTCTTAGTTCCTCATTATATAAACAAACCAGTGTACTGGCCCATGCCTGTGATCTCAGCACTCAGGCAACTGAAGCAGGAGCATGGCCTCAAGTTCAAGGCCAACCTGGGCTACATACACCATGAATTCCAGGGTAGGCTGAGCTACGGTGAGAGACAAGAATACGGGGGCTGGAGAGGTGACTCTGTGGTCAAGAGCATTTTCTGTGTAGCCCTGGGACCTGAGTTCAGGTCCTGACCCTCACAAAACTTGCTAGGCATTGCTCTTGCAACGCTGACCCCAGCAGTGTGGAGAGAAGACAGAAGGATCCCTGGGCCTTGCTGGGGCTGACTAGCTGAAAAGTATGAGCTACAGGTTGAAGGAGAGACCCAGCCTAAAAGGCATAAGGTGAGGAATAGCAGGGTACCTGACACCCTTCTATGGCCTCCGCATGCATGCACAGGCACCTGCACATATATGTGTGCATGTATCATACATACATACACCATATATACACACGAAACCACACATTATGAAGAAGGATAAGCGCAGTGGTCACTGTTGTTCACAACTCAAATGCAAACTCATCAGTCTGAAGGGATGGTAAAGTTATACCTTTAGCGTATCCAGACACACAGTAAGAGTGATTGCATCTACATAAATTCTCAATTTTTGAAAATATTTTATTATTTTTATTTTATGTGTATGAGTGTATTGCCTGTGTGTATGTAGGTGCACCCATGTCATGCAGTGCCCGTGGAGGACAGAAGAGGGCATTGGATCCCCTGGAACTGGGGTTACAGATGGTTGTTAGCCACCGTGTGATGCTGGGAATCGAACCCAGGTCCTCTGCTTGAGTAGCCCGTGCTCTTAACCTCTGAACCATCTCTCCAGCCCCAATTCTTAAAGTTTTATAAACATGCGGGTGACTTTTTTCTTTGAAAAAAATCATCTGATAAAATTGTTTGCTCTTTGAAAATAGGATGCCTCACCCTCCTGCTCACCCTAAAAATAGTGTTTAGTTGGTGCCTGTACCAGAGTGTGAGCTGAGACCTGGGTAAGAGTGACTCCAGATGTGACTCTGTGGGAACATGTTGTCTACTGAGATAGACACAGTATTGACAGCAGACAGACAAACAAACAAACAGAAAACCATTTTCGGAAGCATCGTAAGTGTGGGTAACGAGATGATAATTTGCCTTCCAGTGAATAGTGGTATGTATGTCTTAAGAAAGCTCCGTGTAAACTGAGTTCATATTATTAACTGTAAGTTTTCACTGCTTCTTCATTTGACATTGGATGGAATCTAGTGCTGTGTCCATTTTCCCCCACCCCACCCCCTTCCGCTCCTCCTCTTCTAAATCAGGAAGAGCGGGTGATCCCCTTAAGGGCGCTTACGTGTCCGGATCCCATGTGTGAGGAATATTTTGTTCTTTTCTTGCTGGGAGAAAAAGCATCTAAGGCCTAAGACAAATGTGACCTCATTGTAGTGCTTTATCAAAGTCTGAGTACGGTCAACCTGTTTGTATTTATTGGATTCCTATTGGGTCCTTTGGACCAAAAGATTTCAGGGAAACAGTGCAGAGAATGAGGACGTGTATCTTCTGGGCTGAGGAGCTCAGAGCGCAGTGCCGGGGGCTGGGGGAAACCAACTGATAAAGCGACTGATAGCAGAGCGCCAAGTTTCCCTAGAGCCACACCTTGAGAATGGGAATCTGTAAAGGCAGGGGTAGGTGAGCGTGTCTGTGCGCCAGAGGTTGACATCACATGTCCACCTCAGTCTCTCCCTCCACCTTATTTTTGTTTTGACAGAGTCCTTCACTGGACTTGGAGGTGAGTGTTTCATACACTGGCTGGACAGTGAGCCCCAAGGACCCACCTGTCCCTGTCCCACCCCTATCTTTTAGCTAGAGTTACAGGCACAGGCATGCCATGCCTGGTGTTTTACCCAGGTACTGAAGATCCAAACTTAGTTCCCTATGCCAGCCCCTTTGCCCACTGAGCCGGATCCCCAGAACTGAAAGATTTATTTTACTCATGGTTTCAGAAGGTTTTGTCCACAATCACCTGGCTCTGCATTTGGGGGTCACTACAAGGCAGGACATCGTAGCATCATGGTGGCAGGAGTGTGTGGAGGAGGCTGTCCACCTGCAGGCCCATAGGATGCAGAGGAACTACAACCTGGTGGACAGGAAGCAGAGCGAACCAGTAACAGGAAGAAATCAGGACAAGACAGAGCCTACTTCCCCCAGTGAGGCCCCACATCCAATGGTCTACTCAGATATCTGACCCATCAGTGGCTTACTCCACTGATAGGTCAGAGCCCTCACGGTCTCATTGTCCCTGGAAGTGCCCTCATCCCCACTGACACACCCAGAATGCACCTTCCTAATCATCAGGTGCTTTTCAATCCAGTCAAGGTTAATCATGCATCCAGGGCTCGTTGGTTGCCCAGGTTCACTGGCAGTTAAGGAAGCTAAGAGAGGTGGCTGGAAAAGTCAATTGGAATTTTGAGTGATCAATTCAGACGCCTGTGTGCTGTTTACTGCTGGAAAATGAGTGAAGAGAATGGGGAGCCATCAGGCGGTGGTGTGTGAGCTGGTCTGGAAAGGGAAAGATGGCTTCGCAGATGGTGCTTAGTAATGGGTGGGAGTGGGTGAGCTGTGGGAGGAGCAGGAGAGGGGGAGACGCACCGGAGCATCCAGACGCACCTGCTCCACTGTGAGCCTGGGCGGGTAGATGGTGTGTCAGTAGCATAGGCCTCTCGTCCGAAGAGGAAGCTGAAGTGGGGTGGAAATCGAGAATCGTTAAAGGGACAGTGAGGTGGCAACAGCAGGTGTCCTAGGGACGAAAGGATGGAACTGGGCTCTGTTAGGGGGTCCCAAGGACCTGCCTCTGCATCCTCATCTAAGATGTAGAGCAGCTGCATTCTCCCCAGGACTGGGGTGTGTGAGCCCAGGGGCAAGTCAGCACGGCCTGGAAGAGTTCAGGGACCATTGTTGTTAAGATTGTTCTGTTTGTTGTTGTTCTGAGACAAAGTCTTACTATGTAGCCCAGGCTGGCCTGAGACTCACAACTATGATGCCTCTCTTCTCTCCTACTGGGGTCACTACCCCTCCTGGCGCATGGAGGGACTTAGGTCATTCTCCCTGTGACTGTCCACATAGAGTAGTCATCACAGGTGCTGGGCTAGCAAGGTGGAAGGGAGGAGGCGGGAAAGAAAGGAGAGAAAGCCCAAGACAGACCCTGGGAATCGTCTGCTCAGGAAGCTGAGGCAAGACCAGTGACACGGGTAAGCCAGAGGCAGGAAAGCAAGCAGAAAAGCCAGCAGGCAGAGACCACCCGGGGCAGGGTTGGCGTGCCAGGGTCAGAATTCAGCACCTTCAGCTGCCACAAGAAGCCGCGAAGAAGACACGGTTGCAAGCTCTGGGTTTTGTGCCACTGAAGTCACCCAACAGCTTCTTCCCTAGGAAAAGACTACTTTGGAAACGTGAACCCGTCTGTGGCCTTGACATTAAAAGTGGCCTTTTTACCAGGTAGTCCTTGAATGTCTCAATATCGAGGTTCTTATCCATGACTCTGCCCACCCTCCTCTGTCACAGCTCTTTCCAGAACATGGCAGGAGGGATAAGAGCCCACAGGCTTGGTCCAACATGAAACATCTTGCTCTAGTCCCATCAAAATGACTCTGAGGGGACAGGCTCCTGGGATTTGAATGGGCAGGAGAAAGGGAGCATTAGCTCAGGTCTGACGCAAAAAACAAGGTTCACATGAAGGTTGTTTTATTTTCTGAAATAGACTTTTTGGAAAACTGAAAGCCTATATGTTATACACCCAACTCAGAAACTTGGTTACTTCAAGCTCTGTGGAGATTATAGCCCTGCACTATCATCCAAGCCTCCTACAGGTGAGATTTCAGCCCATGTAATTCCACATTCAAACCACAACAGAATATCACTTCGGAGATTTGATGGCTGCTTTTGCACCCATCGGCTACAGTTAATCTTAAATACTAATGAAAACTTAAGGCTCCCCTACCCTTCCTCCAAACACTAAACCACAATGCTGAATGCCCAGGGTGCGAACATTTCGATTAACACAAAGCAGATCTTTCTGGGGTGTCATTAGGGAAGGTTTACCTGAGTAAAAGTTACCATGTACACTTATTTTCTCCTGGCACACAAACCTTCATTTGTGATCAGAGGATTGGTATCTTGAACTAGTATTCACAGGGAATGGAAAATAAGAAGCATCCAGGCAAGTCAAAGTAACAAAGGCATGTTTGGCAACTGGATGTAGGAAAACCCCCGCCCCCCACAGCTTTCCTGGTAAGGGCCTTTGAACATCACAAAGCTCCCCCAGTCTCCTCTTACCCAGAGCATTATGTCTGAGGAGCAATAAACAAAATAGAGATCATTCTGAAAACCGCTCAAGGCTTTGAGCTGCTTCCCTAACGACTGGAGGGGGGCGGCGGTGTTCGAAGGTGGCTTTGGTGATATT